TTGAAAAAACAAATGCTGAAGTACTGTAGTATTAATTAGAGGGAATAAGTGGTATGGTATGAGAAGAGAAGTGTTTATATTATAAAGGAGGGATGTTACCATAGATCAGAATAGCTATCAGCGAATGAAAACAGTATACACATTTAATAACACGGTTTTTAATCACCATTATAAGTAAATAATTATTTTTATCATCATTTTACTTCATAATCATTATCACCTTTAATTACTACTGACAATAATGATTTAGACTAATAGGTACATACAAAACAACACACAATTAAAACAATAACATAATATTAACGCGATGTTCACAATAATAATAACTAATAATAGTAATAATAATGATAATAAAAATAATATCAATAATAAAAGTAATTAATAATATTATTAATAATCTTAAAATCTTGTCGAACATTGTCCGTAACATAATAATCATCACTAATTACGATGGTACATAATTTCTTTAAATTAAACTATATAAAAAGCATCACGTTGACTAATTTTATCCGTCGATTCAATTCATAACCACTCATACTAGTTTTATAATTATACATTTATTTTTGAGATGCATTACATGCTTTTAAATTAATGATTATTTATTTATATTTGTCAGCAACACTTAGAATTATGCATTGTAATTAATGTTCATTTTTTTTCTCGTTTATTACCACGGAGATTTATTTCAGAAGATAAGTAATAATTCTTGCTGATGGGAATGATTTCTAAAGTGTGTGAGAAAATTTATTTCAACACATTTAGCACGGAAAAAAATTAATTTTATTTATGAGAAAAATTCTTGAACCAAGAAAATCATTTTGAAGAATTTTTTTTATTTTAAATCAAAGTGAAAAATTCTTGAATTATTTTGTAAAATTTACTTAAGACAAGAAAAATTTTTTGGTTCAAGAACTTTTCTCTGAAACTCCGTCAGTTTTTTTTTCAGTATGGAAACAAGTCTTGTAAAAAAAAAGTTGAAATTTTTGTAAATTCAGCTATTTCATTTTTGATTCTGAAAATGCTGAAGAAAATTTTCCAATTAATTTTTGATACGTCGATTTAAAATTCGACTACTTTTATCATTTTATCAAGAACTATAAATTTTAGTTAAATTTACAAGAATACTACCTGAACAGGTATCAATAAAAATTTACTTGATTCAGTGAATATTTACAACTCATGTTTTAAAATTTTGAAACTAATTAGTCTTGAAAATGTCAAAGCTATTAGAAAGTAATGAATTGTACCAAAAAAACATTTTTTAAACAATTATTTTTAAAATTTTAAGAAAACTAGTACGTTTAAAATTTTGATTTATTTAAACTCTACACGGAACAAAGAAAACTCGAAAAATTACGATATATAATGCAACGTGGCGCTTTGTGATTAAAACTGGAAAAATTACAGTTTCAGATTGTAGTTATTACAGATTTTGTAAGAATTACATTGTAGAATGTAATATTTACATTGAAAGCTCTAAATATTAAATTAAAAAATTGAATTTAGAAGAATGTTATTTCAAACTGTAATTTTTCTAGTTTTGATTACAACGGGACCGATTTTACATTTTATACTGTAATTTTTCGAGTTTTGTTTTTTCCGTGTAGGCCAATGCCTCTTCCGAAGATACACAAGCGACTTTAATAAAGACCAAAAATATGCAATTTTTAGTGCTTACGCTCATATTTTTTAAAGAGCATTAAACAATTGTTATTCTACAAACTTTATATCAAATAAAGCAGAGTAGTTCGACGGAGTAACTATTTCAATAAAGAAAAAAAAATTTGAATGTCAGAAAAGTTCTAACCGTTATTTCCGTAATCATACTTTGGAAAAAAAGTTACTGGCATTTTACAATAAGCTTGAGCAAAATACTCGTAGCTTGAGTGCTTAAGAGTTAATTATTAATTTCAGAAAACGAAGAATTTTAGAAAAAATTGGCAAAAAAATGTACAATTTATAACTAAGGTAAAAGACCCCATTAGTAGCGGGGACCCCATTACTGACACTTTCTTTGATTTTAGTACTTATTCAATTAATGAAATCATTAATTTCAATACTGAATATATTATTTCTAATCTTTGAGACCTTTAGATCGAAAAAATTTTTAATTTTTATTCCAAGTAGAACATTTTTTCATTGAAAGAAAAAGTGCCACTAATAGGGGTTAAATGTGCCACTAACGGGGTCTTTTACCTAATAAAGTATATACAATCGATTTTTTTGTAATTTCACACTAATAAAAATTTCTAATTAATTCAAGAGACAAATTTTTTTTATGAAGTATAAATAACTGAAGAGTTTCTATGTTTTGATTCCAGCCGAAAAATTCTCGAACTAAGTAAAATTAACTTTGCCAAAAATTTTTCTGTTCCGAATCTCAAATTCTCTTGAATCAAATTATTTTTTCATCAGTGTATGAGACAAAAAAAAAATGAAATCATTTTTCCAATAAAAATTTATAAACTATTTCCATAAATAATTTATTCTCCGTGATTACGTAAAATTTAAAAAATATACGTACACAACTTCAATGCAAGTGCTACGTACTCACACAACATATATAAATCATAATAATTTCTATACACTCACATAACAAATAGATCATAATAATAATACATATTTAAACAAGTTTGCCACCACAAAGCCTTTTTTAATTTATATTTTTTTTACTAAATTTGTGCTGATCAACGTTTCGAACTCATTAACTATTAATTTTAAAAATTAATACTCTCAAGCTTAGATCCAAATAATCCAATAGTTGAATTTAACAATAAAATAATTAGACATTTTCGTAAATTTAAGTATTATAATTAATATTTCACTGGGATGAACTATAAATAAAACTCGAAAAATACAAAAGCGTCATTATACAATAAAAATTACATTCGAAACGACGGTCAATTCATAAAATATTAAAATATCGAAAAAAGAAAAAAAACATAAACAGATATTTTATCCTATCAGAGATCCAATGAAGCCGACGAAACACTTGAATTTTAATTTATTTTTAATCATACTTGCTTGTCAGTCACCCCTAAATTTTGGCCATTGTCACAAGGAAAGCTCACTATTTAACTGTGAGCGCCAATTGCAACGTATTAAGTACAATAATAATTAATCCAACGACCCGTCACGATTCGTTATTTCTTAATATTATTTTTTAATCTAACATTTTTACATAGATAAGTGTCATAGGTCATAGGTCATAATAATTGCGATTTTACAAATTTTATTTATCAATAACCACATAATCCTCGGTAGATAATAAGTACAGTATTGTTAAAGTGAGTTAATCAAAAACACGACTGTATATGTCTCACCAGCGTATATTACACCAAATTAATCGAGTTTCACTGATTTATTGTTATCAAGTAATAAATAATAATCATTCAAAACTACTGATGGCTGGATAAGAGAAGCACAAAAAATTTTTATTGATACGCGACGTTTTTCAAATTTCATATTTTTAATTTAGGTCGTCAACGAGATAATTGGTAATTTTATTTTATGATAATAATAAATAAAGTCCAAGTCCTGAATCGATAAATCCTTTATCCGTGATCACCTAATTTAATGAGTCACCAATAATTAAACTCTAATTTATTGTTTAGTCAATATAATTATATACGCGTAAAAAAAGTAATGCACGTTTTAAGGATTTAAGGGATCGATTAGGCGAGACTAATTTTTTAAAACTATAGTTCATTTATTTATAATTTATGTTCTATTCCATTAACTATATATTTATATGTAGAGAAATACTATCTCGTTACGAATTGGACAGATTTCTCAGTAGGGCCGAGCATATTGTACTATTATAATTGACCCAACCGATATCATTGCAACATTATATTCATCTCTTTCACATTAATACAAAAATTTAATAAAACAAAACTTTCATCAAACGGAACGACGAAAGACAAAAACTTAATAATAATAATAATAAAAATAAAAATAATAATAATAATAATAATAATAATAATAATAATAATAATAATAAGACAATATCGGTACGATATATAATTAAATATTAAATTTAAAAAACAATAAATTCATAAATAACAAAGCTCAAAGTTAATAGCAAAAATTACTTTAATAACGAATGTAAATAATTTTGTCTTTCACCTTATTTTCTATAAATTATTACACCAGTCATACAGATTCGCTCAATCATACTATCTCACTTACACATAGTGTATAGCAGTCAAAAAAATTACCTATTATATCATAATTTATAATATGTCCACTCGACACAAGTCTCTTGCCTCACTCATTACATATTATATATATATATATATATATATATATATATAATATATATATTAATAGAAGAACCATGATCGAGTGTACGTGTACTATTACTTTAACTCATTAATGACATAGTATATTTATAAATTTATGTATATAGCTATATATGTTCCTGTATGGTGTATATGCATTAAGGTGTCGAAAAAAAATTATTTTCCTATCATCTAAAAAATTTCTTTTAAGTGTAAAAAAAAATTTTCCTAAAAACGCAACTTTGCAAGAAGTGTAAAAATCGTAATAATTTATCACCTGTTGAGGTTACGAAGAAAACATATGAGAGCTTTTTTGTAGAGAATTTAATTTCCAATAAAAGTGTGTATCTTAAAATGTATAAAAAAATTTTTTACGTGTTACTTTTGCGAGAAAAGAAAAACTCGTATTTCTTAGAAAATTAAGATATGAAGCTGCGCGGTTAGGAAAATATTTTTATAACTAGAAGAAACTTTTTGTATGGTAAGAAAAAAAAAATTTTTTTTTTTTAAGCACCTTGACATGCATGTACACGTACTTATGTTATAAATAACGGATTCTCTGGGAGTTCGTACAAGCCCTGATGTTTCATAATTAGCAGTATTAACATCAATTTCATCACGGTCTTGATCACGAAAAGGTTTATAATTTTCTAAAATTACAAATTGCAAAGGTCTAATGATGATTGTTACCTAAAGTAAGTATCAGGATCCTGATACTCAGGCGGCAAGACCATGGCTGGACTGATGGAAGAGCATTGTATGTTGATGATGAGCCGCCATATGAGCCAATTGATGGGAGGAGTGATGAGGATGATGAGAGTGAACAGCTGGAGATGCTGCTGAAGCAGTTGTACTGGTAGCATGAGGAGGCAGAGCTGCTGCTAGTTGTGATGATTGGGTAGTATGGAAAGTACTATGACTGTGAGTGTGACTCTGGCTGACTGCTGCTGCTGCAGCAGCAGCTGCTGCTGCCGTGGCTGCAAGACTGTGAGTATTATTACCACTAGTGTGTATTGAAGTGGAAGCATGATGTGGTTGGTGACCAAAGACGACCCCAGAGAAGGCTACGGGTCACTGATGATGTTTTGCAGAGCCATTTGCGTGGTGCGTCTGGCTGACTTGGACATGATGACTCGATGGCCCGTGAGTACTTCCAGGATGATGATGATTACCGCTAGCTGTACCATGATGGTTGGCATTATTAGCACTGCTGTTATTGTTATTGTTAGTTTGCTGTGTTTGCCGCTGACTATTTTTCTTGTTTTTCATCCGACGATTTTGAAACCATATTTTAACCTGCCGCTCTGTCAGATTTAAATTTCGTGCTAATTCCCATCGCTTTTGTTTCGACACATAGGCATTAAACAGAAATTCTTTTTCTAACTCAAGAGTCTGAAACTTTGAATACGGTTTACGTTTCTTTCGCACTGTCACTTGTCCAGTCCACTCCAGTGGGTTCCCTCCTGCACAGCTAACGCCCATTCCAGGTACACTGACCGGCATGCCCAATGAACCTGTTGGAAACAAGGAAGATGGGGAGGAACCCCACATCACTTGAAACAATTAATTTTGCCTCAATAATGAATATACTATTTTATTTGTATTTTATAATTTGCTAAAATTTATTCAATACGTCTTTCATACTAAGGTAGTACTGTCAAAATGACAAGTGTCAAAGTTTTATTTGATTTATGTCATATATTGCATTTACCTTTACAAAGTTTTTTATTAATTACTACAAGCACATGCCCCGAATCTGTATTTTTAATTATAAAAAATATTTAATGTGTTATTTTTGCTAATTATCTCGACTTATATTAAAATATGAATGGTACTTTTTGCACACAAAACAAGAATTGTAATTTATCATCAGACTCATCAGAATGTTAAGCGTAAAAATTTTTGTTCTGTAGTTCTCCAAAAATTGAGTAAGATTATTGTCAAATATACTGAATTTCATTAAATTCTGAACAGTAACTCTACGAACGACAGTACTGCCTTGAAGTTAAGGTGCCAGAGCAGAATAAATTTCAATTGTTAGATTTTGCATTACTGCAAAAACCGACATGCAAAATTTGAGACCAATTAACTAGATATTTATGGAGAAAATTTGAGTAACATCTGAGCAGTAGTAGAAAATTTTACACTAAATTTTTTTACGAATGAAAAAATTCCTTAAGTTAGAGTTAGATATTTTTCTAATTAGAATATCTAAATTAAAAAATTATTTTCTTGAAAACCATCTTCCTAAAATTCGGTCTAAAATTCTGTGTCGTCATTTACAGTAATTCAAAATCTAATGCATACTTGACATTATATTGTTTTAAAGCCCCAACATCCTTAAACAAACGGGAAATTAATATTATTTTTAAAAATTAATTGATCAAGTCATTTAATTAAAACATCGAAGTTTATTCTATTTTTATTTAATTATCGACGATATCCGCTTTATAAAGTCATTAACTTTTTATAAATACATGTGATCCGATGATTCACGTATTAACGGGTAAGTAATTCCTAATTAATTTGAATTTAATTGCGGGAAATAAATTATAAATTATAATTTATATTTATCCAAAGTAAATTCTGTTAAAATGTATAAATGTTGCGTCAAGTAAGTCCAGAATAAGGAGGCATCATTGCATGATCAAGTCTTACTATGATATAATTGGACCGGTTTTACTAACCGTGCCGAATATTTCGGCGAGTCTCCCTTTCATCGAATGGTTAGTATACACAAACACACTCGTGTTTTCAACTGTTTCAATGTGTACCAATACTAGCATCTTCACTCAATCGAAATTATTGTACATAGGCTATATTTTGTATGTATGCTGTTCGGATTTTTTTTGTTGGACCTACGAATTTCCACAGAGAATGCAACTCAATTTTTTCATACGCTACATCATTATATTTATGAATTGATACTAAAATAAAATTTCTAAAAAGCAGCTTAATTAGATTACTAATTAAAATTATGATTACCGCAAAAATAATCAATGTTATCTTGTTAAATGAGTTGTAATTTGAATTAATGAATAAAAATAACTAATGAAGGCTTTCAGAATAGCGTATTAAAATATTTGTTAATTAAAATCAGCAAAACGGACAAGATGATTATTTGATGAGGAACTTATATTAAATTTAATAATAATCATTATCAATAATGCTCAAGCAAAGTTGTACTTGACAGACGACCGTGTCTTTTTCTTTCATTTCAGATAAAAATTAGCTATCCTACTTCCTCTCACATACGTGATGTGCGTTAGTATTGCTCAAGCGGGAGAAATTTATTGCCCAGTAAAACGTGGAAATATGCAAATTAATTGACAGAGGTCAGGATCCTCATGGATGAGTTAAATATACACAAAAAACTAAAAATCAACTAAACTGGTGAACAGGTAGGACAACTGTTTGATTTACTAATGAATCAATTACCTTATAAGTTCATTTCATTTAATGTTATGTAACGGCTTTATAAGCAACAACATTTTAAGATCAATTAAGCTGTTGATTCAAGATGAAATTTAAAACTACAGTGAGGTTTAATTTATTGAAATGATTGACTGCTCTTAGCGATCTGGTTATGTTAATAAGCTCTCAAATGAACATTTTAATTAATTAACTAAATTGGAATTGTATTTTGTAACTTATTCTTAATAAGATAATTATTTATGCTTGCATATATTGAGAGAGAGAAAGAGCGAGATCACTTTTAACTAATTGGACAAACTTTTAAGATCAGCATCAGACAAATGATAAAAAAACATTCTATCGAACAAACGAATCAATATTTACTGATAGAGAGCAATAATTTTTGTTTTGATTTGATTTGTTAAAAAAAAAAGCAGTGACTCAAAATATTTACATCAAGATAATATGATAGAAGAACTAGCATAAGTTGAATGGAACGGTGCTTCTTTAGAAGCAGCTCGGTGAATAAACTCATGATATTTCCGACGTAGCGGTACGAGCGTCAGTCCGGTATCATAAATCTTGAACGAGGGATTGCAAGCTGCGCAGAATAATGTTCTTCCCACTTTTCGTTCTCTTTCTCCCTCTCTCAACAGCTTCATCTCTTTTTTCGCGATAGCTAAATATAATACGCATGCGTGTTTCACCGTTCAGGACACAAGAGAACCGCGAAAAGATAAGGGAGCTGCCATCTGTCGGTATAAAAATATATGAAAATAAGTTGCCTACTGCTCTAAATATATACCTCATGTGAAATTCAATCAATGAAGAAATCAAAGCAATAAATAAATAAATAAAACATTTTTTCAGCGAAATTTTTTGCTCAGCTAACTTCTCATTGCTTCCAAGAAGAGAAGCACTTAGTTGAGCCATTCTTTGTGGAAAAGAAATGTCGGTCAAGTAAAATAATCCTAGAAAAAAATGTGGATGCTAATAAAAGATAACTGAACCGAGTAGAGCCTACGGGTCATAGTACGGATCAGCTGATTGAAGGCGCGCGCTCAACTTTACGACTTACGGTCGTCAATAAACCTGACGCTGTTGATTGCAGTCTGTGACGTTTCACGAACTAGTTATAGGAATCCCATAAGCTAATAGCAATTTTTATAAGACTTTTTTTTTTTTTTTTTTTAATTACAGTCGTTTTTATAATAGTTAAATGTTTTGTTAATTCAAACTAGTTTCTTTTAAGCTAATTCATTCGGTTTTAATTGTTCCTAGTGCCTCCACAGTTTACAATAATATATTCGTAAAAAAAAAAAAAAAAACTAGAAAACAAGCATTTGCTAATATGACCACCCATGCTAAGACCATCAATCAACGCGTAGATTCCTCATGAAGTACCAGTTTAAGTTATGAGGAGGAAAATCGCAAAGTTTATGACCATGGTTATGAAGCTATTGGCGGCCACGCGACGAGAAATACTACACGTTTTCTGTTACGAGCGGAAAGACATAAAAGAATAAACTTTTGCTGGATGATAGCTCAGTGTTGATGCTTACCTGGTGTCGTGTAAGGGCTGGATGTAACGGGTTCTGGTGCTCCATAGTTTCTCAGACTTCCGTATCCATCATGAGGAAATGCACTCTCAGCCGCAACCATTGCTGCCATCCTCCCCCGTTCGTCTGGCGCCGAAGAGGTGAGATACGATACACCAGCTTGGGAATGAGGATGATGGTGTGTCGTATCGACAGAATGATGGTGCCTAGCAGTGGCGTAGGGAGAGTAGTTACACCAGCTCTGGGAGAAGCCAGAGTGCCCGCTGGAAACAGCTGGGTCAGAGGCACCACCAGGTGTCGAACCAGAAGAAGAAGTAGCAGCAGTGCTTCCTCCAGTCGCCGAGTTGTAGGATTTGTAGTCGGAGTTAGTCGCACCAGTAGCTGGCCCAGAACTGGCTGTTGCTGGGGACCAAAAGCTCAGGGCGCTACTAGACTTCCGACTATCTCTGGACGATCCTATTCCGGAGTCCGCCAGGTTGTAGTATGTTGGGGGGTTTGTGCCCCCGTATGCTTGGTGATGATTCAACGCGTCTGCCGTTGCAGCTGACGAGTGGTAAGCTTCTTGAGGATTGTGGGGGCTGTAAGACGTCCAGCCAGCTTGTGAACCCGCAGAGGACGAGTGAGAGTGCCTGATCACTCCTGCAGTCGCTCCAGTGGCAGCAGATCCTTCCACACAATTTACCTCTCCGTAGGTTGTTCCGGCAATAGGAGTAGCCGTCAATCTTTTAGCTGGAATGTGAAGTGGCCCAGTGGCACTATTGCTGGCAACGGAGGAAGCGCTTGGAGATGTCGAACTGGCACTTGCTGTTGGGGCTGGTGCGGAGGCGGTTACTGAGCTTGGAGCACCAGGTGAACTTGGAGTAGTTGCTTGCTGATGAGATCCAGGTGTTGAAATCTGCTGCTGCTGGTGGATAGAGATGAGAGATGAGGCTGGTGGCGGAATTGGTGGCGGACTTTCTTCGTAGACGCCACCGTTCATCATGGCCCACCAGGTCACCCCGGTGGAATTTCCCGCTCCGGTGGCTGTACCCATCGATGTAATTGAGCCAGGATGGCCAACGCCGGAGCCGCATAGCGGCGCGGCGTGTACATTGTCGTACAGGGTCGCCGTTGAACAAGACACGTGTTCGGCGATGGTGCAGATCGTGGTGGTAGTGTAACGACACAGTTATTGCGACGGTTGCGATTTGTTATTTTTAACGTTGTTTTGATTTGCAAGATTTTAATTGTTAACACCAAGGGTGTAGGAATGGATGACGGTTCAGGTTAATGATTAGTAAAGAGGAATGAAGTGTATTCGGGGATTACCATTGCCCGGATTGGGATTGTCATTGGTGAGGTGTTAAATAGAGAAACGTTGAGTGGATGTAATAGGTAAAAAATAAGTGGGATGTCGAAACGAAAATAGAATGGATGAAGAGAAAGATTGTGTTGGAGTGAGAGGTTATGAGGGAAATAAAGAGAGATTATGTGTAGGGAATGAATGTCAAAAGGTAGGGGCACGATCCGATACGGGAGTTTGTGTGCGCGTGTGTGTGTGCGCAGGAGTGAGTATGCGTGTGAGCAACCCCGCGCGTACCACCGCAGTAGACAGGTGGAAGGGTGGCAAATTGAGGGTGGAGAAACGGTAGAAAATAGTTGGCAGGGAGGAAAACCGATTAAAATAGGATAGGAAAGGGTTAGGGTGGAGAATTTGGATTGATAGCGGACGCGTGGATAATCCCGCCAAGAAAACACGATGATAAGTGTTTGACGTGTCGCCCACGTGTAAAATTGTTTTTATCCAATACGAATAATTATTTATTTTTTTAAACCGGCGTTGAGATGATCCAGATGAGAAATCCAGTAGATGAAAAGGTTGTAACAGAAAACAAAAACACAGCACACTTTGGCATCAACGTTCTTAACGTAAACTGTTTAACTTTAAATATGCAATAAATTGTGACAAAAAACACTTGGCAACATAAAATACTTCTTTACTTTAGCTAGTTAAATTATTTTTAAATTATTATAATAATTCACAATATTCAAAAACCAGTTGGGCTAAGATTGAAATATTTTATCGTCCTACACGAATGACAGAACTCACACATTTATGCGTGTATCCCTTCAATAATAAACCTTTTCTTAACATCATTATTATACTACAAAGTTCACTTTTATTTATTTTTTATTTCTATATTGTTGTACTTTTTTGTTGTATCAATGTCTCACTTTATCACTGACACATTTGAATTTTACCGCAAATGCAATAAATAAAAAAAAAAAAAAAGGAAAAAAAAACGAAAAAAAGACCATAAAACTATCCACCCTTTTTATGATATCCCAGTGACCAAACTTAAAAGCAATACTGGGAATTGGTAATAACTACTTCCAAAAACTTGGTAGCCTCTCTTATTGCCCTAATCGTTTTTTTTTCTTCCCAATTCTTATTTCTCTTTTCTATAGGTCCGTAGTATCCCTTTTATGACCTTGTTGGCAGACAGGCAGGTAGAAGATGGCCAGAATAGCTTCTGGGCCCGGTGACCCTCAGGGGTTTTGACAATTTCGGGTACTTATTATAATTGAGAATTATGCAAAGGAGTCGCGCACACGCGTACGTATAGGCACACATATGCAAGTCAAACCCCCTTTCTTTTCGACTGGCCGCGCTGAGCCGTACTGAGCGACAACTGAGCTCTGGCAGTCGCGCGGAGCCCACGAACGAACAAGCTAAAAAACAACATCAGCGCGATCTCTCGGTAACTCAACCAACTCCACTGCTGGTGGAATCCCCACCTCCTAGACGCGGTGGCTGTCGCTTCTTCCCCTCCTCCCCTTTTCCCTTCCTCGTGTGTTGATACGCGAGTGGCATTCTACGCGGATGGCATTCTACGTGCTACACGCTACACTAGCTAGCATGCATGCATTTTATCCCCCGCTTCTTACACACGCGCCCAATGTTTTAGTCGTTCCTCCTCTTGATCCACTACGTACCTCATACCTGTCTCATTCTCGTCCAACGTGACTAACATATACGTGACTCTACTTTACTGTCTTGCCGATCAAAAGTTATTGCCGGAGGACCTTTCAAAATCAACAATTCGGTCTATTATACCATACGTATTTTTGTATACCCATTTGTATACACATTAAGATATAGATAAAAAAAAAACATATTTATTTGTTGAATGTTGAGGAAGGTCATATCCACTAATATTTTTCATTTCTCATTATTGGTCTTCATTACTTCTGCTTGGCGTTGAATTACTTTATCATCAGAACGTTTATCGTCTGAAATAATCGAGGTCATTCGAATGTATAATTTCGAAAAACTAAGTGAGAATCACATTAAGATAACAATTGAATTATTTTTGTCCGATACGAAAATTTAATAGCAGAGAAAAAAAATCAGTATCAATTATCATGACCTATATGATGTGTGTACTGAACAATGCATTTAATGTGTAACATGTAACATCTATACAGGGCAATACATATGTCGCGGATGTATTGTGCAGTCTAAATCTCGGTACTTTTATGGGCACTAAAGTAAAACGATCTGACAACAACTGAGGGCAGCACGCCTTCCTTCAAATTGCGCGCGAGCCACGCACACGCAGCCTATAATATTAGTTCGGGTGGATATATTATTATTATATACAATGTAACGGTATAATGAGAATGACAGTTGCAAAATGATGAGAGTTGTAAGTTTATTTCATGAGATTTAAATCATTTTTACAAGCTTTTAATTGCAAAGAAAATAAAAGTATCATGTAGGAAGAATATGCTAACAGCATCAACAATCTTTTTTTTTTCTTTAGTTTTTAATAGATATTTGATTTTAATTTTTACAATTAAACGATCGTAAGAGTTTGCGCCTAGATGGTCACTTTTACTATTTTTAAATCATGAATTAGTGAAAAATCCCTCGAATAAGTAAATATTAATTTATTTTGAAATTAGAACCGAACAACTAACGTTCAATTAGTACTAAAAATTAGTGAATATTCACTTATTCGAAGGAATTTTACTAGTTTATAAATTTAATGCGATAACTCGAAAGAAATTTTTTTTAATTCAAATAATTCCGTAACTCGAAAAAAAAATTGATTTATTTTTTATTGCACGCCTCATAAGCGAAGCGTTGAGATTGTGCTCTACTCTCGACATTTCAAAAAAAGCAGTTTTCTCGAAACTGAAATTGATTTTTTGTTATTTATATCGCACTTACAGGTTAATATGAGTACACTTATATCAAGTCGAATAATTTGTCAGGCACATAAAATATATTTCAATAACAATTTTTTTGTTCAACATAGTAAATAATAACATTTAACATAATTTTTTCTGGACGTCCGTGTATGGATGAGTGTATGTGGCAGGGAAATTGGTCGAAAAAATGATCGTACCGGAACAATTTTTTTTTTAATATCTAAAGTAACACACGAAGGATTCCCCTAATTAATATGAGCGTTCAATTCACTGTCGTTAAATTATTATCTATAAAAAACTAATATATGACTGTGGATTTTTTTGTATATCTATCTATACATTTTATTATAGTATTTTTTTCCTCACCTTAGCATTATGGCGCCACTAAACCATAGCAGAGTTTTGTTTTTTATTATTTTGCTTTTTATCTTTTATTTTACATAATCTTTTTTGGACGTCCGCGTATGGATGGGTGTCTGTGGCAGGGAAATTGGTCGAAAAAATGATCGTACCGGAACAATTTTTTTTTTTATTATCTAAAGTAACACACGAAGGATTTTCCTAATTAATATGATCGTTCAATTCACTGTCGTTAAATTATTATTTATAGAAAACTAATATATGACTGTGGATTTTTTTGTATATCTATCTATACATTTTATTATAGTATTTTTTTTCCTCACCTTAGAGTTATGGCGCCACTAAACCATAGCAGAGTTTTCTGTTTTTTATTATTTTGCTTTTTATATTTTATTTTAATCAATTTTATTGTGAAAAATGAGATTATGAGGCGTGCACTTTTGGATTTTCCAAACTTTTTATTTTTATAAATGTAATTATTCACTTATTTGTGTACGTCGGATTTCCTATTAGTTAATGGTCTTAAATGAGAATGTATTCTACAATTTTATTTTTAGTGTTCAATTGAAAGAGTACCAGTTTTTATTATTATATGATGGTTTTTAATGTATGAATGCTAGATTTAACTACATTCGATGATCCATGGAACCATCTGAGTAGAAAATATTACGATCGCTTCATTGTAAAAATTGCTATCATATAGATATTAAAAACTAAATAAAAAAAATTGTTAATTTTCTTTGTCACTAATTTACTTGAATTATTGACAAAATTCCAGCGGAGATTACAATTTTGATACACTATCATCGACAATAGATATCTTAACAATAAAAAGAATAACTACAAAATTTTATTGTCATTTAAAATGTGAAGAAAATAATACATCAGCTAATTGTATTTTTTATATATCGTAAAGAAGGTATTAAAAAAAATTAAATTAATTTTTAAATTCGTTTTTGATAAAACTAAATTCAAAATTAAAGTATTTTTTTTTTACATCATAATAATTTTTTAAATATTTTATTTTATTTTGCTTTTTTTTTCTTTTAGGTTGCCAAGAAATGCAAATTAACTATGCATAATTTACAAAGTGAAACAATCCGATTTTGGGCAGACGCTCTCTACACGAACTGAGATTTAACCCTTAATTGCCACATACGACGTATCATAAGTTAAATAATTTTATGGATAAATTATAAATTTGTGCTTTTATTATTCTTCATTAAATTTGTTAATTTTATCAATAAGAATAAGTATGGATACATTTTTTTAAAATAGTTAACAAAACTGATAAATAATCGCGAAAAAATTGCCTACATTTAAATTAAATAAAAAATGTAAAAGAAAAAAAACTACATCTGTTTCAAATATGAGATCTAGAAACCAGATCACTGTCTTTGTTAGAAATTACAACATGAAAATTTTTAAGAACCAGAAACCGCCTATTCTTCATACTATTTTGTACCGACCGATTTT